TTATTATTTTCAAACAGGATGGTGATGGGGAACCCTGTTGTTTTACCATTGAACAGACCGCTTTTGAAAATAGGAAAGTCAGCTTCCTGGCGGGGTGTAGTTCCTTTTTGTTTACCCCCTTTTCTTCTTTCAAGGTCGGGTAGTAAATCCTCCTCTGTCAATGGAAGACCCGCGGGGCAACCATCGATTATGATACCGACTGATTCGCCGTGCGATTCGCCAAAGATGGAAACGCGAAATATTCGTCCGAAACTATTCATGAAACTTAAGCTTATTACTTAAAGATACGCTGGCGCCCAGCTTTTGAAGATCATCGTAAAAATCAGGGTATGATTTGTTCACAGCTTCGGCATGATCAATGACCATTTCACTATCCGATCTTAACCCGGCAATCGCACAAGCCATCGCGATACGATGATCATGGTGTGATTCGACATCGGCGCCTTTCACGGTTCCACCGCCATGGATGATCATATAATCTCCTTCGATATCGATAGTAACACCCATCATGTCAAACTCATCCTGTAAGGTAACGGCGCGGTTACTTTCTTTATATTCAAGACGGCTAACACCCTTGATCCTTGTTTTGCCTTCGCAATAAGCTGCCAGCGCCACCAACGGCGGAAAGAGGTCCGGACAATCCGTTGCATCGAATACAAAACCGTTCATCTTCGTCGGCACTACCCGAATACCTTTCGCTTCCATAGCTATTCCAGCGTTGGCTGCCATTAACGCATCGATGATTGCTTTATCGGCTTGTGGAGAATTTAAATCAAGACCGTTGATCATTACGGGTCCGGCAATCGCTCCGGCAACAAGTAAAAATGCTCCCCCGCTCCAGTCACCCTCTACCCTGTATTCACGGGTTTCGGATGGTGTAGTATGGTCATCATTGGTGAAATAAAATTCCGCGTAGTTCCTGTTCTCGGGCACTTTGAAACCAAACTGCTGCATGACATCCAGTGTAAGATCGATATAAGGCTTGCTCTTCAGATCTTTCACTTTAATAGAAACATTGCGCGCCCCGGCGGCCGAATAAGCTAACAATAGCCCGGTCAAAAACTGGGAGCTAAGTGATCCATCCACTTCAATATCTTTTGGCTGTAGCGGCCCCTGGATCACCAACGGGAGTTTACCCTGGTTGCTCTTCACCGAAACATTCAACTGTGGTAATATTTCATC